TGGCGCTGGGTGGTCTGGGGGGTCCCTGCCCCCCAAAACCACTCCCTTACAGGAGGAGCCTCGGTAAATGTATGCTCCAGACTGTCCTTCATGTTGCTGTCTGATCCCAGTGAATCCTGAGGGTTTGTCTGCAGTCTCCCATCGTTCTATCCTCTTTGGATGTGCTGCTTCCCAGGGCTGTTCAGTGGCCGGTGGACACAAGGAGCCTCTTCCAAACCCGTTAACGCTGGTCTTGAATCCCCTTCCAGATGAGCTACAGACGTGCGGCGTGCCTGGACGCAAACCCTGTTGCCAGGCCACTGCGCGATGCTTTGAATGCTGAGAACTGCCCGTTGTTGTGCCGTGCGGGTCTCAAACTGTGGGCTCTGACTTACCGCCAGGATTGGGAGACTCGTCCCATGCCCAGGAGCTGGAGAGCCGCCTTCACGGCACTCGCCGAGGGCGAGCTGGCTGGCTCAGCACCGCTGCCGATAGGAGAGGCGTGACACGTTTGGTCACTGTTTGCTTTTCATTACCTCGGGCCTATGCTAATCCGCTAAATCTCATGACTTGACACGATGGGTTTTCATTTTAGACGCTCTGTTTGATCCGGTTCGTATCAGCGCGTGCCCTGGGAAACTGCGCCGCGGAAATTCGGGGCGTCTCTCGTGGTCTGCCCACCCCGGCTCGCCTGGCACGGGAAAGCCAGCCGGGGTTTCTGGGCCGAAGCCGTTGCCAGAGTTAGCGCGCTGCTTTACGCCGCTCCCCTGGCCGTGCAGTCGTGCTGGAGCAAGGCTGCGCAGCTGGGAACGGAGCTACGCTTTCCTTCCAGCTGTTGGTAGCGAAATAGAAGCTGTCCCCGATCCCAAGGTACGACGCTGCCCGTGCTGCTGCAGGGACGTCCTGTTCGGGAGTCAAGCTCTGGGCATCGCGCTGCCCTGGTGAGCCAAGGTGATGCTGGTGAAGTTTTTAGCAGAGAACCGAAATAGCTAAGCCCCGTTAAAGCGCTCTCCTGCAGTCAGACCACCCTCTGTGGGAGCTCTCTGTTCCCGTTCCAGCTCCCCTCTAATCCTGTGATCTCTTTTTTTTAAAAGCGCCTTTATTCTTGCGCGCAGAAATACTTACACAGAAGCACCGGGAGCTCTTCCAGGTATTACCGGATTGTCCCAATTATGGGAAACGCAGGTGCTCGTCTTTTCTCATACCTCAGTGCTTCTGGTTTTCAGCTCCCAACAGAACTGAGAAATGATAGTTGGGCAGATTTTCAGAGCGAGCTGCCAACGAGTACGCTGGATCCTGACGCTGTACCCGCTTTGACAGTGGAAAAAAAGGATTGTGTTTTCACAAGAGGTCAGTTGATGCGGCATAAGAGCTTAGTGCCAGGATCAATCCTGTGCCGCTCATCGGGACTTGACCTCACGTCACTGCTGCGACGTAGCAGCTCGCTCTGTGCCGCCAGTGATGCTGCATCTGTGTCGCTGCTGCCACGTCATTGTGCCCCTTTTTTGCCCAAGAACGCAACCTCCGACGCAGAAGCAATGGGTGGCCCCGAACCCATGGTCCAGGACAGGCAGAGCGACGCGTTAGCAGGCCAGCGTGCTGCCTGCACGCCGCCCAGAGCACATGCCGCGCGCAGCTGGCACTTCAGGTTCTGTAGAAGTTTCAGGTCGGCGTCTGCGTGTTTTATCGACGTGTCGGCGAGCACAGCGCCAGGCAGAAACGCTCCTGCTCACAGGGCAGGTTCCTCGCAGGGTCCCCTCTCGGAGGTGGGATCCACGTCTCCGCGTGTCCCTGGGTACGCACGGAGCTGGAACTGGGTTTGGTGATTCTTCAGCGTTCTTCTTAATTACGAGGGAGCTGAGGGGGCGTATCTGCGCTGTGGTCCTGGCTGCGCTAAGCAGCGATCAAGGAAGTTAACGCAGTTAAGCCAAGTGACAGCGTGTGCGGTACAGGCAAGCGTTGAAGGACAGTCAGTTATTTCTCTGAAGGTAAGGACGGAGCAGGGCTTTCTTCAGCTACTGCTCGGTGAGACCACGGATCAGCTCAGACCGAAGGACAGAGCAGAGCTGGAGCAGAATCTCTTCACCTGTGTCCTCCACATCCCCCGTGGATTTCTGACTCCTAGGTGCATCTTCTCGTCTGCAGTTTGTGTCCGGGGCTGAGAAACGCTGGTACAGAGAGGAAGGGGGGTTCAGGTTCACTCAAATGTCGCGATTAGTTTGCTCCTTAGCAAGATCGATACCAAAATGCAGCCGCTCCATGTTGCTGTTACCGGCACAGGAATGTTGTGTGTCTTACATCTCAGTCTTAGGTCTCAGTCCTGTGAATTTCAGCTTTCATTTCAGAGAAAAAGAGTGGAGCTTTAGTGGAAAGCTGAAAATCTGGGCTTCTAAAAACACAAGTGTTGAATGAGCCAGAAAAAGAATCCAATGTTTTTACTTTTCAAATGCCTTTATTTCCAAGAAAATGAAGTTTACAGAACAGAAGTCCAATTTTATTTTTTTTAGTAGTGCTTTGGGTTGGCAATGGGGTGTTTCCAGGCATTGTGTCGTGTCCCACGTTGCCTTTTTCCCCGGGTGGGCCGGGATTTTGGACTGTTCTGCTGTGCCTCCTCCCGCTCCATCTCCCGTACACGGGACAGCGTATGGTACGTGCCTAGTGCTTCACATCGCGAATGCTGTGATTGTCATTTCAGGCTTCTTCCCCAGCATATAGTGGCTCCAACCTGTATTCCCCGGATTCTTCAGCCAACTCTGGTCCCATTATCTCCGACGTGACCGAGCTAGCCCAGTCCAGCCCTTCAGCATCTCCCAGCGGCAGTCTCGATGAAAGGTACGCTCTCGCTCTCGTAAAATCTGAAGCTGTCTGCACGGGGAGAATGTCCTTCCCAGTGGGCTGAGCAGTCAGGCACCATTATGACATGCCTCTTCTGTACAGAATTCCCCGTGAGGTGGAAAACAGTGCAGAAAACGCCAGAAAACGTTCTGGTGTTTGAACTCAGTCCCGCTTACCTGCCCAGGGCTTCCCGGACAGGCGGACCTGTCCTTCCAGGATAGTCTGGGTCAGGACACTGCCATCTCAGCAGGTTTTTGGTTAGTTGGTTGGTTTCGCTCAGCTTTAATTCTGTTTTCCAAGCAACGCTCGCTCCTCTGCCTGCCCCGTCTAGGGTGAACCTGTCCCGGGGGGGGTCACAGTTTGGTTTCCACAAGGAAGCCGTCTTTGTTGGCCTGTCCGCCCCGTCCTGTGACGTTACCGACGTCCTGGGAGCAGAGTTGGCTTTGCCCTCCCCTTAGAAACTGCTGCACAGAGAAAACAGCTTAGTTCCCACGTAACCAAGAATAACAATGACGGCCGAGAATCCGTAGCGAATACCGGTCAGCCGGCGCTGGCAGCCGTGCTTTCACCACCTTCGGATTTACAGGAGCTCTGCCCTCGGGTGCCACAGGTACCGCGCAGCCTCACACGCCTCTGCCGACGCCATTCTGCATCAGCGGAAGCCCCTCGCCGCATCCCTCGACGTGGCCGCTCGGCCCTTCCTCCCTGCGGCCCCTCTCCCTCCCAGCATCTCCGGGAGGTTCTGAGCCTCCCGGGCAAGAACCGTCTTTCCTGAGCACCCTGTGGTCTCCTGACTCCTTTTTTCTTCCTCTTTAATGGGTTATTCCTGGCATTGGCGCTTCCCCTGCGGCGCTGAATCGCCCACAAATGCCATTTATTGCCTTTAATACCCTCTGCCAGGAACACTCGCTCTTAAATATAGACCATATGTTTGCTTAATGGCCCTTTTCTCCGTCCTTTTGTAGTCGCTGTCCTTTCCAGTAGAACTAACTGCGCCTCTTACGCCCCCGAATCAGGGAGTTTGGGTGGTAAAATCAGGGGCGACCGAAGAAGCCGTCTTCCCTTCCCACAAAAACAGCGCGTCTGAAATTGCCTGGGCGCTCGTGTAAAAGGTTGACCCCGGGCTTTGTCTGCGCAGAGGAGTCGCGCCGCTGACCTTGGGGAGCAGTTAAACCACCACGGCCCCTGCTACGGCGATGATGATGTCGCGTGTGTCTCGGTGGTGACTTTAAAAAAGCGACTTTTGTGCTGTTTAGACTACGGCCGCGTCAAAATCTGTGTTGTTCTAACTGTAGAGTTAAGGGAACCCCCCCTCCTTCCAACAGCCTGACCTACGCAGAGCTGCCTGCGTCCTGGGCCGAGCAGCCTCCCAAACCTTTACCCGCAAGAAATACGCTGAGATTGCAGTAACAGCGCGAGGGGTGGATGTGTCAGGGGAGCTGATAAGGGCCAGAACCAGAGAAGAAATATTTAGGTACTCGTTCAGCCTCACCGTTGTAGCTGACTCCGGAGGCTGCGCGTGTGCAAAGGCAACAGGAGTCCCGGGGATTTTTTTTTCCCCTATTCTGTGGAAGCAGATCTCAGAAACCAGGACCGTGCTAGTGTGAGACTTTTACCAATTTTCTTTGTTTCTCTCAGGAGTAGCCCCGTGGTCCGTATCAAAGAAGACCCCCCCAGTCCCGCCCGCAGCCCCCAGATAGAGGAGGCCAGCCCAGGGAACCCTCCCGCTGTTGAAACTCCTCTGTCCCCCTCCACGTTCATCGACTCCATCCTGCAGGAGAACGAACCCAGCACTACGACCGCTGCAGCCGGCGACAGCACCACGCAGCCTCAGCCCGAGGAAAAGTGCCTCAGCGTTGCCTGCCTCGACAAGTAAGTGCTGCGCTGAGCCCGGCCCAGCTCGGGTCGTGCCAGCCATCGCACCGCTCTCTCCTGTTAAGCTTGAAAAGATGTCGGCAACCCGGGCTTCCAGCCAGCTTCGGAAGCCAGCGCGGTCCTTTGTCCGGGGGCCCTGAGCGCAGCCCTCCCTGCCAGGGCCACGAGAGACACGCTGCTCTTCCCTCCCCGTTTGGGGAGCGTGTCCCACCGCCTGGCCCCGCGCACAGAATTAAACCCCGACGCTGCGCTGCGAGGGGCCACGTGCGATGCCAGAATAAGAACGGGTAAAAATGACTGCGCTAAATAAGGGTTTGTTCAAACCGCCTGCTCCTCCAGCGTAGGAATGAGTCACCGCGAGATCAGCTGTTTCATCTCCAGCCCGGCACATCCTCATCCTCGCCGTGTAAAAGCTTCTGCCTTGTGTTTGCGGTCCAAAGGCAGCTGAGAGGCACACGGTGCGGGCAGCTTCCCGCTTGCTAGGAGTGTTAATCCCTGCGGGTTTTCCCGTGGGTGAGACTTGGAACGGCCGCAGGCAGCGTTTCTCCGTGAACCTTCTCCCTGTAGCGCTGCCCCTGCGCTGTCCTCTGCTTTTGCCTGTCCCAGCTGCCCTCCAAATTAATGAGGGAGGAAGCTTTGCCTTAAACCCTCCTTTGCCCACCTAGTTCTAGTCGTGGCGAATGCATTCTCAGCCGCTTTACTCACTAGGACACAGCTTGCATCAAACTTAGGCTGGACTCAGCCTGCGAGTCGATGGGTAGCTTTTTATTAGGGATCGGAATTGTAGTCCTACGTCTTTTATCACCACACAGTGCTCACAGATGCAACTGCAAGCGTTGGGATGAAAAACTGGAAAGTTGTTTGTCCGTATGGAACTGCCGAGAACTTCTCGTACTGAGATCTCGGCCGCCTCTCAGATCTCGGCCGCTTCTCGTTCTCCCCGTGTCCTGGGGAAAACAGAGTATGGGAATTAGGGTCTTCCCTCTGAATGCCGGGACAGGCTTTCTGTCCTTAGAGCACAAAAGCAATCTGGAGACGACACAATTAGCTTCAGGGCCCTGGAAGGCGGCAGAGAACTTCTTCAGCCAGAATGCTGCCGGGGACTCACGCGCCCAAGGTGACGATCGCGTGACCTGCGCTTCTCTTCTAATTAATTCTACGTTAGCTATCGCTTCTCAGAGCTGTAGGGTCATAGCTGTAGACGGAGAAGGGGCAAAACCTGTGGAGGAAGTTCTCTTTATTATTACACAGCGGGGTGGAGCGGGGTTTGCTGCCTGCACGCCTCGGAGTCCTGCAGAGTCGGGAGACGCCTGCTCGCTCCTTGCTCGCGGCCTTGCAGGAGACGTTTGTCTGCAGCATCACCTATTTATAGACCTGTCCAGGGCACTGCAGTCCCTCTCAGCGATACCGACTGTCCTTCAGAAGAGACAGCTTTTATTGTACAGCTCATCAGAAGCTGAAAGTGGCCATTTAAAAGGTAATAAAAATGAAAAAGAAGAAAACGCCGAGTGCTGCCCTGAGTGCCTGTGAATCATGACGGACTCTGCAGGCTGTGCAGAAGCAGGCAAAGGACACCGAAAACGTTTGCCCCCCCCCACCCCTGCAGCCAGTGAGCTCCAAAAGCGACTTGGCGCGATTTAAAAGAGCGAGCTTGTCCTTCCTCTTCCTTTGGTGCTCTCTTACTCCCACATGTTGCACGCAATGCTGTGCTTCTCTCATCGGTTTGCGCTTTAGAGCGCATTCCGGCAGGAAGGTTTGGGGCCAGGGAGGATCCCTGCCTGTTTGCCACGTGAATTCCTAGCATCCTGTGGTCGACCCATGGGCACACAGCGCCCGGCAGAGTGTAGCCCTTGGGCAGAATATCTGTGCCCGCCCCAGGGAACGTGAAGGCAAAGTGTAAATAACAAAGGGAATCCCCAGCCTCCGCTCTTCGCTGGGCTTGGATGGTGCTGGTGTTGGGCCTCAGCATCTCTGCGTGCAGCGGCGTTCCTTGGGGTTACGGAGCCCCAAGCATCCTGTAACATCAGGGGAATATAAACTCCGAGGAGGAGGTCGGTATTCCCAGCGTGCCGAGGCCGGGGCTCCTTTCCCCGTGTCACTGGAGCTACCCTGCGCCCGCTCGAGCGGAGCAGCAGTGAGACCCGTCCCGAGGGAGCAGTCGTAGGCGCCCCGAGGGAAGTGGAATGAGCAGAGCACGACTTGCTCTGAGATAGCGAGCGGGCAGAAAGGATGCCTTGCTAATTGAAGGGCTGACAGTGAGCTGTTTGCGAGCGCTTGGACCTGCTTGTCACGTCCCCAGGAGCGTGTCAGACCCTGCTCGAGGGTCTTCTCACTGTCTTCTCGCCGTGCAGCGCCCTTTCTCCCAGGCTTTGGTAAATCCCCAGCAGTTTGCTCGTTCTGTCGAGATGCAGGTAGTAAGGGGAGTGTTCGCCGACGGCGGGTGACGTTACGGCATGGCAGGGCTGCCCAGACGCCGCTCACTTGACCCAGGCACTGACAGCCTGCCAAGGAGTCTCGTGATACCTGGTTTTTGTCGCACGAAGCATGTTTCAGATGTTCTCAAATTTACTGGGCAAGAGCAGCCCGCAAGGCTGCGGGTCGTGGCATGCAATCTGTCTTTGTGAGCCACGCGGGCAGTTACTTCATCTACGAGACATCCTTTGTCCGAGGGAATTTCATCTGAACGGAGAATTACCTTCGGGCGACCAACAGCGCTTTGGCAGCGGGTGACAGCACCGAGATTCAGGCAATAGAGGGGAACGTTTGCATGGAAACGCTTGGGGCTGTTGCCCAAACATTATCCGCCATCCAGCCGGGGACCTACGCGAGCCGCTTTACGAGAGCCAAAGCCCGCCACGTGCTGAAGAATGTTGACAGCTACGTTATTTACATAACGTATATATTCCATACAGCAGTCTGTCCAAACACAGCGGCATGTGCCAGGGCCCGCGTTTTCCCAGAGCTTCAGCGCCGCGGCAGAGGTGACAGCGACTGCGGTCCCCGTGTCCGCGCTGCCCTGCAGAACTCAAGTCACGCAGAGCCACGTCAGAAATAGTTTGTCTCGCTGAGGATCTTGTACCTGAGCTTGGCTGTGCTGTAGCGAACCTGTGCTGGCTGTGCTTTTGCGGGACTGTTTGTTTCCGTGGGTTTTTTTGGTTGGTAATACCGATTCCGCTCGCCCGCTTCGCCAGCACTGCGGCGCGGTGACGGCAGCGCCTTCCACGCTGCTTGGAGTGCGGGAGCGCGGTCGATCAACTGTTCTTGCCTTTGAACGTAACAAACGTTTCATTCCTGAAAGCGCCTGGTCGTGAGCCTTTCGAACCTGCTCTCTTCTCTTTGTATTTTTCGGTTTGACTCGCCCCTTCGCAGCTGGCAGAGGTCGCTCGTCTTTGCCCCCGTTCTTCCTCTTCCTCCCCTCCCTGCAGATCACAGCAAGGGTCAGCGTTTCAGCAGCCGCTGTCCCCAGGCGTTGCAGTTCTGGGCGGGAGAGCAGGGGAGCGCCGCGCTAAGCAGGGAGCCGTCGGTGCTCTGCAGTCAGCTTTCCCCGCGTCGTCGGCAGTATATCAACAACCGGAACGGCTCCCTCTAAAAATTGGCGCTGAGCGGGGCAGATTTCTTGGCCAACTCACCACAGCGACTAAAACCACCGGAGTGGCCAAACTGCCTCTCATCCGTTTAGGTGGTCTTGGCAGGGGAGGGAGGGAGGTCTGCGCTGCTCTTGTCCGTGCTGTGCCTGGTGCTGCTGAATGGAAACTTCAGCCCGGCGAGCCGCTGCTCTGGTCTCTCTTGCCAGCGCAGAATTCACGCACCTCAGTAACAAAGCGCTGCAAAGCGACAGGAGCTCGGGGCTGAAAGGACTTTGCTGCTGCGTTTTCCGTTGTTATGATAATGACAGAACAAGGAAACTTCCCACTGCAAACCTGACTGTGCCCCGAGATGCTGTTCTAGTAAAGCTTTTCCATGACAAAAACCATCCCGGATGAGGACAAAACCCATCAGGGCCAGTGTCCTGTCTCCCACAGTGGCTAACAGCGGAAGCCTAGGAAAAACTGTCCCAAGTGTTGCCCTTAAATGCTTTTAGATGATGTATGGAATAATGCAAAAGACAAATGTAATCTGTCTTGAGCTAAAACGCATTTCTGACTTAGCGTCTCGCCTCCCCCTCCCTGCTCACGTCAGAGGTGATCGTTGCAGGAACGGTTGCTTGCTGCTCTGGTTATCGTTTGCAGGCTGGCGGGACCTGGGGACAGACAGACACGGTGGCCTGGGGAGGGCGCAGGGGCCAGCGCGCTGCTTTTTCCCTACGGAAGCGTATGTGAGAGTCATTGCAAAGCTGCTCGGCCTTCTGGCTTTTAGAAACTGGAACTTCTGAGAAGGAAAGGGAGGAAAAACAGTTCTGTGCATCTTCAAAGTCAGAGGAACCGTGGGTCATTTGTCACCGAGAAGTGTCCGGCGCCCGGTCGGTTGTTTCTGGGAAGCGGCAGCAGCCCGTCCGTGGTAGGGTCAAGGACCAGACGGGACGGGAGCCGGGCTGGCGGCGCTGGGAGCTGCTCCCTGCTCAAGCGCCGGCTCTGCCTGGCGCAGAGCTGAGAACCGCGTGCTGGAGCTCGGGGGCTCCCTGGCAGCTCCGGGTCCTTCCGTCCCGGGAAAGACCTTCTTGTGGCAGTGGTGCTGGGCGCTGGCTGGGCTCAAAAAAAAGGCCTTCTTGTGGCAGGGGTGCTGGGCGCTGGCTGGACTCGTGGCAGCAGGCAGCAGCAGGCAGCAGCAGGCAGCGCTGGAGGCATCGCAAGGGACCGGCAGATGGAGTTTTCTCTTCAGCCTCCGTATCAAAATGTGCCTTTTTGCCAGTAAAAAGCTGCTGCTCCTGACTGCCAGCTCAGCTGGTTCCCAGCG